GAAAACAGCTATGTCTCTTAAACTATTTGTTCATTTGTTCACTCACTCATTCATTCAAAAAATATTATTTTGAGCACTGACTGTGTGCCATTCACCTGTTCTAGGTGCTAGGACTACATTCGTGAACAAAACAGAACTTATATTTTGTGGAGGGGACATAGGCAATGAACAATGGCTATAACAAGTAATTAAATTAATAGCCTTTTAGAAAGTGCTGTTTTAGAGTCTTCTGCAGATGATGCTTATGATGACACCAAAGTCAATACTCATGCAGCACTTTCTGTGTCCTAAAGATTTTGTCTGTTTTTTAAATGTCTACTCATTTAATCCGCACAACAAACTTATGTGGCAATTACTCTCATCATCTGCATTTTACAGATGACTAAACAGAGGCACAAAAAGATTAATTTGCTCAAGATCACACTGCATGTGAATGGTAGGTAGAGCTGGGTTGCCTATTGGATAAACTTCTAAACCAGCATAACCAATCCTGCCCTAAGAGTTGCATTGGAAATGCTCTCAAAAGTGTCCAAAGCACTTTGCATGCAATGCCAATCAGGGACCGATTTGAATCTTCATGCAACATAACTGAGGAAGAAGAAATAAGACAACCGACGTGTGGAATCAAAGAGAATGGTCGGTGGGGTCCTCCTAAAGAGGAAACACAGATACTTTCTGATTTTCTAACAGTAGGATTTGGGGATTATTCCGATGCCTCCCTCCAGATAACCCCCTTGGGCAGCCCTGGGCAAACTACAGCCCGTTTGAAATGAATAAAACTAAAAAAAAAAGACCGTGCCCTTTTATGTAATGATGTTTACTTTGAATTTATATTAGTTCACACAAACACTCCATCCATGCTTTTGTTCCGGCCCTCCGGTCCAGTGTAAGAACCCATTGTGGCCCTCGAGTCAGAAAGTTTGCCCACCCCTGCCCTTGGGCAATCTCCCTCTCCATAGGGCTCATCAACAGTGTGAGCAAAGATGAGGGAGATGAAATGCCCAGCTACCTTGACAACAGCTCTGCTAGGTGATTTGGTTGGAGAAGAGGCTGTAACTGCTCTAGAATCTCATTCTAGCCCACCAGCCATGTCAATGGTGATAAGCTCTTTGAGGTGCATTTTAATTTTTTTCAACCCTCTCCAGGTTTGGATTTATCCTACAATCTAATGTGGAGGGTGTCTTCCTTTTTATGATTTTTCGAGGGGCAAAGAAATAGGCATTGGCCAATCCTATATAAAAACCAGGTCATAGAAAGCTATGGTTTGAGATAGGCACTTCCAGAGAGTGGCTGGACCACACAGGGAGGTGGCTTTTACAATAAAAGATGTTCTTCAGGAGCAACCAAGTTGTTATGCCCATTTTACAGTTGGCAGCACAGAGCTTTAGAGAGATAAAATAAGTTTTCTCTCACTTATGTAAGACCAAGAGCATCCGACTCAGGCCCTCAAACTCTAAAGCTCTTTGCTATTCTACCTCTCAGCATCTCCTAAGGGAATCAGAATTTCAAACCGGAAGGTGATCTGGTTCATCCTTTATTTTCTAGATGACAGATTGAGAGCCTTGTCTAAGGACTGAGGGTGGGCTGGTAAAAGCATATCACCTAAGGCAAGAGATAGCAGAACCCGGAAGTGCATGCTGCGCAACTGTACGGATTTTATATTGAGGAATGTCTAACAGGTGAATTCTGGAATTTTATATTATTTTAAGGTTAATGTGGCAAATTCATAAATTTAGGGACAAAGAAAAAGAATTCGATACAGGGGTCAGCCAAAGTAGGTTTACAGTGTACAAAACAGAGTTTATGCTTCTATCATTATTTACTAATTATTGTATTACTTATTTGTACAATCCACTTTTGTCCACCCCCTATAATTACTCATTAAAAGAGGAGTAAAATAAGGTCCTTTGGGGTAGATTGGAACAAGATCGAAAAAGGCAATTTGGGGGGAAATAAGACAGAAAGTTTTTGTGTGTGAGTGTGAAGTGAATATATTTAAATTTGAAATGACAATAAAATGTCCAGAAAAAAAACAAACATCAAATGAAATAGCCAAGGACATGGAAAGAACTGGTGGGCCTTTGCCTGCTGCAGGGATTGCCTGTTTGGGGACATGGGGTGGATGGAGAGAAAATCTCTCTTTTTTATTGTTGTGCAAGCTAAAAATGGTAAGGCTGCCTTTTGAAAATTGATCTACTCTTTATTTTACTGAAAAACAAAACAAAACACAGAACAGAATATGAGTCATTTGGATTTATACACGGTTCCCACAAGAACCCTAATTACAAGTAGGATAAAAATCATCTTTTTGGCATTCATTGCGGGCCAAATAGTTCTCCTTAAAATTGTATGAAAGCTAAACGCCAGTGCTGTGACCACAGCCTTGCTTTGCTTCCTGGGGCTTTCTGGTGTCACATCCCCAGGGGTGGCCTGGATAAGTCTGCCTTTAGGTTTTCCCACTGTCCATTACAAAGCCGTCTGCCTCCTTAGAGGGCACATTAAGAACACCCTGTACCCACACTGTCCCTACAGGCTGGTGTCTCTTGTCCCTCTCAACCAAGAGGCCTATCCCTTTGTCCTTCTCTTTATCTCTTTCCAAAACTATCAGTGCTTGTCCTTGGGTCCCTACTCTCAACAATCTTACAAACGCATTTACAGAGTCACTGAGTCATTGACCGGCAGTAAATTCGGCATTTTTATTTCTCAGAAGCATTTGCTTCCTCTTTCCCATCCCACCCCCAACTTTGAAGTAGAAGCCCTAACCCCTTACCCAGAATGAAACATCGCTTTTTATTAGAATTTAGGGCACTTGGAAGGGTAGCCTGCTCTTCTGACCTTGGTCTCATTTCACAGATCTGGACTTTTGCACAAGTTGTTTTTTTCTGCCTGGAATGTCCTCTCACTCCACCATTTCTATTTGGTGAAATTCTTGCTTAGTGTCCATAACCCTTCCCAAAGGTGATCTCTATCCAGAAAATCTCCCTGACTCTCTAGAACTGGCTACCCCAGGAGCCACTACCCTCGTGAAGCTGCTGAGCCCCTGAAAGGGGAGTCCTCCAAAGTAAGACGTGCTAAAACGCACATCGGGTTTATAAAACTTAGTAAAGTAAAAGATCTCACTAATTTTTATATTGATTACATGCTGAAATAATATTTTGGATATATTGAGTTAAGGAAAATATACTATCAAATCAATTTCATGTGTTCCTCTGTACTCCTTTTTAATGTGGCCACTAGAAAAGTTCCAGTGACATCGGTGGCTCATGTTTGTGGCCTGCATTCCATTTCTGTGGGTGGCACTGTGCTCGTGTCTAGACCAGTGGTTTTTGAAATGGCAGTGGGAGCTGAAGAATGCAGCTGCTTTCTGAGTGCATGACCTTGGAGTGGCACTTTGGAGTAAAATAATATGCTTCTGATGTATGTTAATAACATATTCAAGGTAACCAATGAAGAACATATATTCAGTCTTCGTTGTTATATCCAAGCAATATTAATCTCTCATTATACATGAAATCCCCATTTCCTCTCCTCCCATCCCTAACTCTAAAGATAAAAAAACACACAAACAAAACAAAGCATGAGTAGCAGGGGGAGGTTGGGGGTTAATGGGGAGGGGAATGAGGACACACTTGTAATACCTTAACCAATAAAGAAATTAAAGATAAAAAACACACAGAAAAACCAATGTGATAATGTGTGTAGAGTGTTTTGTTCAGTTCACCAGCCCCTGGACTGAATGTGCAATACGAAATATGCTCCAGTTTAGCATAGACAACTGTGAGAAAAAGTAGAAGAAGAAGGAATGAAGCTAATAGGAGTGGCTACACACAGTGCTAGACGCTTTAACACAATGAGATGTTCTTGAACTGTGCTTAGTGGAACCAAAGTTCTGAGAGCTATTCATATACGTATTGTGTTCGGGTGGGGCTAGGGGAGAAAGCTTCATGGCTGAATCACAGTGGAAAATGCTGTATTAATCCATTAACCAGATTTCTTTATCACAGGACTTTCTGAAGACTTTAATATACTATGAAGCATGTGATAGCTCAAAAGGGAAATGTTGAATTCAGTGTTTACCAACTTATCTGATCAATAATTCTCTTTTGAGAAGCACCCATCAACATCACTGGTTGGTAAAATGTGTCAAAGACAATGTTGCATTTTACGGGGAGGAAACTGTGGCTTAGGAAGTTAAGTGTCTTGCCCAACATTTCCATCTCACATAATTGTTTTGTGGCTGAGCCAAAATTCCAAATTGATATTTACGCCAGAGGAGAGAATTTAAACATGATCAGAACAGGTTAGTATTATTATGATGGATAAATAAAATAAACCGATGAACAAAATAGATCCAGAGACATAGAAGCATGGAACAGATTGATGAATCTCAGAGGGAAGGCAAGGAGAGGGTGGGGGGATGGGAAGAGATTAACCAAAGAACTTGTATGCATATGTGCATAACCCATGGACACAGACAATAGCGTGGTGAAGGCTGGGGGCGGGGTGGAGGGTGGGCATGCGGAGTGGAGGGAGTCAATGGGGAAAAATGGGGGACATCTGTAATACTTTCAACAATAAAGATAAATTTTTAAAAAAAGAAATACACTTAAAAATGACAATTCTCTCCACATATTCCAAGCTCATTGTCCCCCAGTTCAGACTTCACTCCCTCTTTGGTCTCCTTTTCTGCATTTTCCAATATTCCTCATTTAAATCTTGGCACACATTGCTTTATTGTTAGCTTTTTATATGTATGTGTCTTATCTCTCCCAACAAATTAGAGCTTGCTGTGGTTTTCCTTTGAATGCCTCACAGGGGCTTGATAGAACCTTCTTGGTTTATTAATGACCAGTTTGTCTGGCTTAGTTATTGATGGTTTGCGGTATCTTTTGACAATATCCAAACACTATAGAATATTGGCTCTTGGTTCAGAGCCATCACATGCTCACCTAAACTGCCAAGCCAGTATCAACTAGGCATGATGTTACACACCAACATACCTGCAAAATACAGCTCATGATATCAGAGGCGATTTTTGCATGAGGGGTGTCTTCATCTTTCCCGGAGGGTTTCAGATTGTGCTCCAGGCAGGAGTCCCAGAGCCCTACGAGGGCCTTTGCGTGCTTTTCAATGGACTCTGTCTCTCTGATGGCTGTTGTGATTCTTGTGATGCAGATCTCAACCACGGCCTGGTCATTGTTGTTGGTTTGGTAATCCTATTGGGAAGAAAACCTTCACTTAAATAATACTTTGGAAAATAATCCCTCACAGGTCCGACAAAATACATACTGAGTCATTTAGCAAACAGGTGGGCCACACTGTGTGCCAGGAGGTAAGGCCCGATACCACCAGGGCCTCCTTCTTCCGAGATGGACTCTTGAGGAAGAGGCAGAGTTGGAAACGTGCTCAAATGGAGCAGGTCCATGTGTCACAGACACACAGACAGGGAGCAGTGAGAGGCCAAAGGAACGTAATTATTCACTTGCAAGTGGGTTTAATCTTCAGACTATTTCGGTTTCTAAGTCCATTATTTTTTGCTCTGACATTTCAGTAACTTCGGTGAAATGTTTCAAGTTACCTTCCCACTACTCATAAGCTTTTTCTCTGTGTACACAATAGAATACATCATGTCATCTTTCTTTTTTCAATTCAGATAACTTCCAAATCCATATTAACTTTTCCCAATGCTGTTCTGTTCTAATTCTCCCGCAAATACCTAATCATCTTTATTGAGAGATGATATGATCCTTCAAAACATCTAAATGTGAAAAACAGGCACACTGGTTTAATTTGGAAATCAGTCTGACTGGGAACTCCACGGTGGACTGACAAAACTGCAAGCACAATAGAGCAGTGAGGCCATCAGATAGGAAGTGATGGGGCTTTCTATCCCACTGCAAGTTCCAGCTCTAACAACTTTTTTATACTATTACCACGAATGCTGCAGTAACCATCTTATACACAAAGCTCTCTATCCCTTTTTTAAATATAAATATATATATTTTTTAAGATTTGAGAGAGAGAGAGAGAGGAAGGGAGACACAGAGAGAAACATCGATTTGTTGTTCCACTTATTTAATTCATTTATTGGTTGCTTCTTGTACGTGCCCTGACCAGGGATCGGATCAAACCTACAATGTTGGCGCATCAGGACAACACTCTACCCAGCAGCCAGGACGAAGCCCTCTCACACTCTAGATTACTTCTACCCTAGATTCTCCAGAAGTGGAAATTTTTGAGGAAAAGGAGAGGAATAATTTTAAGTCTCATGATACACTCTGCAGAATTATTTTCCAGAAAGGTCTTACTGATTTATACTTTCATCAGCTGGGTGAAAACATGCTCTGCCTATTGTACCTTTGCAAGAGCAAAGTATTTTTTTTAAAATATTTTATTGATTTTTTTACAGAGAAAAAGGGAGAGGGATAGAGAGTTAGGAACATCGATGAGAGAGTAACATTGATCAGCTGCCTCTTGCACACCCCCTATACTGGGGATGTGCCCGCAACCAAGATACATGCCCTCAGCCGGAATCGAATCTGGGACCCTTGAGTCCACAGGCTGATGCTCTATCCACTGAGCCAAAGCGGTTAGGGCAAGAGCAAAGTATTTTTAAGTTTTGCTGATGTAATCAGTGAAAAACAATATCTCATTGCTATTTTACTTGGAATTTCCTTGATAGGAAGGGAGATTAAATATTTTGTCATGTTTATTGGCCATTTGTATTTCCTCCTTTAGGAATTGCCCACTGTATCTGATGTCTATTTTTCTTCAGATGACTTCATTAGTTTTGGTCCTCCCTTAGTGCAATATCTTTTTCTATTAAGGATATTAAGTCAACGTTTGGCATATTGCTTATGAATGTGTGTCCATGCTTCAGTATTTTTAGATTTTATTTGCTGCTATTTATTGACATGCTAAGTATTTAGGTAGTCAACTCTGTCAATCTTTTGGGGGCTTTATTGATTTTCATTTTTTAAATGGGAAATTTAAGTTGTTTAAATTATTAATATTTTTGAAAATGAAATTTATGGACATGGTTCAAAAATTGAAAAGATACAAAGAAAGAGTTCACAGTGATAAGTAGTCTCCCTCTCACCCCAGTCTCCTTGCCCAAGGAAAACCAGGATCGCCAGCTGCTCACATACTTGACAGAGGCCCTCCAAGCACAGGCAAATGTTCATTTACACAAACTCCTTTCTTTCTCTGTAACTTCTTTAGCAGCTTTTCTTTTCACTTTAAGTTTTCCTTATCAAAGGTTTAATAAAATTTCACCCATATTTTTTCTAGATTAAAAAATATGTGAAAACATTAACATTTGGTATTTTAGAAATTAATCTCTTCAGTATCCACTTATCTCTTAAATCTATCGCGTGTTTATGGAAGTAAGCAAATATGCACATTGTATGCTGAATAGCTAATCAAGTTCTCCCACCATTATTTACTGAACAATTCATTTTCAATAATTGGTTCATATATACATCAGGTTCATTTCAAGGCCGTCTTTTTGTTTGCTTGTTCCATTTCTCAATTCTTTTACAATACTAATTTAGCTATTTTCTTCATCTAAGCTTCACAAACTTTTAAGTGTAATTGGTGCATTTTATGTTTTTGTTGTTGCTGTTGGAAAAATCTTTGTTTTTTCCTCATTATAACTTTTAGTTATTGCTGATTAAGTCAGCCTGCAGTTGACTTAATTTGTACCCAAATGTTTAGCTCCACTCTTTATAATTTTGATAATTTTTCAGATCATCCTCATCAATTTTTTGGAAATATTTTTGTATTATATCTATATCTCATATATCTCCTGGTATATTGTGTCAGCTATAATTTCCTAAGCTATTTCACACAAAAGTGATAAGAGCAAGAATACTGGTTTAATTTCTTGTTTTATTTCCTTATTTTTGATATAAAATGTTATGGCCAAAAGCAAGAAAATGCTAAAATGTTTTATATCATCCTAATATATAAAAAGCCAGGGGCCGTCATGACTGAAACAATCGGACAGAGGACCAAACAGCAGGCCGGCCTGGGGTTAGTGAGGGATGATCAAGCAACTGAACAGCAGTCTGTGTGGGGTGACCAGGTTGATAGGGGTGCAGTAAGGGCAACCAGGTTGGCAGAGGGGGACAGTTGGGGGCGACCAGGCTGGTGGGGGGCAGGCAGTCAGGGGCGATCAGGCAGGCAGGGAGTTAGGAGCCAGTGGTCCCGGATTGTGAGAGGGATGTCTGACTGCCGGCAGTCGGACATCCATCGAGGGGTCCCAGATTGGAGAGGGTGCAGGCTGGGCTGAGTGCAGGCTGGGCTGACGCCCCCCCCCCCATGCATGAATTTCATGCACTGGGCCTCTAGAATAGAATAAAAATGCTTAGTATATAATAATATATAATGATAAAAGAAAAATTTCTCCAAGGAAAAAATAGCAACCCTAAACTTGTATATACATAATTATAAAGCTCCCAGATTCATAAAGTACACTATTTTCAAAGTTTATTTGTTGAATAAATGGAAAAAATTATAGATAAATTATTAGGATTAATAAGAGAGCTGAATGAGTCTACTGGATACAAGACCACTACACAAATGCCATTTCTGTTAAAATCACCTTAAAATATACTTGTGAAATACAATTTTAAAAAGGATGCCATTTATAATCTCAGCTAAAAATGTAATACTTATAAATTGAAAAAAAGATGTGTAGACTCTTAAGATCCTTAAGAAAAAAATGATAAAACTTTATTGAATGATACTTAAGACGAGCTAAATAAATGGATAGGTATACAAGATCTACAGATAAGAAGATTATGCCATAAAGATGTTAATCTTGTTCAAATTGATCTATAGACAATGAAATTCTAATCAAGGTATGACAGAACCATTCATGAAACTTGAGAAGCCTAATACAAAACTATCAAAGAACACAATCAAATCAAAGCAATTTTAAAGAAGGGATTGGAGATACTTGTCCTACCAGATATTAATATTTATTACAATAAAAAGTGAAATGCAAGCTATATTTGGAGTAAGAGATGCATAAGTGACAAAGTATTAATACAAGAATATATAAAAACTCCCTCAAATTAATAAGAAAAACTATATATTTTTAAGTCTCAAAAGAAAAATGAAAGAAAAACAAAACCTAATCATAAATAAGTGCTTTACGGAGAAGGGAAGCCAAATGACGAATAGCAAATAAACTTATTTTTAAAATGATCAACTACACTACTAATGAGGGAATTGCAACTTTTAATGATAATCAGATACTCTGTTTTACTTAAATTGACAAAAGCTTTAAAAATCTCATAAAGCAAGCATTGGTGAGGTAAGGCCACTGGGACTCTTATTCATGGGTAATGGGAGTGTAAATTGGTGCAACCACTTTGGAGACCAATTTGGTGGGACATCAGAAGGTTGAAAACATTCAAAACCTCCAAACCAATGGTTTCACCCCGAGTTGTGTACACTAGAAATACTAGTACATTTGCCAAAATTACTAATCATCAGAATGTTCACTGTAGCACTGTTTAGATAATAAATGGCCATCAAATGAAGAATGGATAAACAAATTGTGGCATAGACTTGTAATGGAATTCTCTATCCCACTGAAAACAAATGAATTGGATCTACATGCAGCGACATAGCTAAACCTCAAAAACATAATATTGAGCTTGTAATTGTATTTATATAAAGTTTAAAAACATGAAATATAATACTATAAGTGATTTTGAATCATGACCATGTAGCAAACAGATAAAAACATGCACAAATAAATACCACAATCAGGATATTGATTACCTTTGGGAGAAAAGGGAGGAGAAATGGATTAGAGGTTGTTATGCAAGTGATTTTAAATTTTATCTAATTGCTTAAATTGGGTGAATTTTGAGTGCCTAACATTTTTTTATTGTTATAAAAAATTAAAGAGAACTGGAAGGTGGTGGAACAATTAGGCCTGGGTGAACATCATGGGAAAGGTGGAGGTGGGGGTGAGAGAAGGGGGTGAGTGGGTAAGGAGACAATCTCACCTGAAGTAGTCTGGGAGGAGAGCCAAGGTAGCAGAAGAAGTGATTATTAGGTAAATGTATTCCAGAAAGGACTTGAAATGAAACTACAAAGCTTAAAGTCACATTGGGGAGAATTTTTAGTGCAAAGCCACACTTTCAAAGCAAACAATAAGGACAAAATAGTTTCCATCCGTGTCTTGGAGGGCATGAACTACAAAAAGGACATGAACTACAGAATAGAATCTAGTAAGTTTCAATTATTTTGTGAGTGACTTTAGAGGAAGGAATGGCAGTTGGCTTACTGAGTTTTCAGATCTACAAAGCTAGGAATGTAACTAATATATTGGACAGAATCATGATATTTATTTATTTATTTATTTGTTTGTTTTAACTTTTTTTTGTAAACCCTCACCAGAGGATATTTTTCCACTGATTTATGTATTTTTCCACTGGATATATATATTCCAGAGAGGGGGAAAGAGATAGAAACATCAACGATGAGAGAGAATCATTGATTGGCTGCTTCCTGCATGCTCCACATTAGGGATCGATCCCGCAACCTGGGCATATGCCCTGATCAGGAATCAAACCATGACCTCCTGGTTCATAGGTCAACGCTCAACCACTGAGCCATGCCAGCTGGGCTCCATTGATTTTTAGGGAGAGTGGGAGAGAGAGGGAAAGACAGAGAGAAACATCTATGTAAGAGAAACACATCAGTTGGTTGCCTCCTGCACGAGCCCTGATCAGGGCCCAGGCCAGGGAGAAGCCTTCAACCAAGGTACGTGCCCTTGACCAGAATCAAACCTGAGACCCTTTGGTCTGCAGGCCAACACTCTATCCATGGAGACAAACCAACTAGGGCTTGTGAGTGACTTTAGAAGAAGGATTGGAGGCTTGCTTACTGAGTTTTCAAATCTACAAAGCTAGGAATGTAACTAATATATTGGCCAGAATCATGAGTTTTAAAAAGGAATGGGTATTCTGGAAGAAGGGCCTAAAAACAAGCATATTATTGCAATGGTTTAAAATGTGACAAAATTCACTTAAATTTTGTTTTCACGTTATCCAATTACAAGTCTTGATTCAACCTGAGAATTTTGGCACATCACAGTATAAATGTGGCCAACCATGTGATGTTATTATTGAAAAGAAATTTTAGAAACAGAGTGTCTGACTGGTATTAGCAATTGTTCTAAACAATTGGTTCAAATACTGGGCAATGATACATTATATTAATAAAATAGGAAGATTCCAGCGGAGGGTAACCAGAATGTTGAGAATTCAGGCAGTACTTGGGAGCTACACTGAGGCATCCTCCAAGAACTTGAAAACAGGATTGTCCTTTGAGGATTAAACAACAACAACAACAGCAAAATCCATTCATTTAAGTGGAATTAGCCAGCTATTGGGCTAACCCAAGATGCTCTATGCACTAGGGTGACTTCACAGGTGAGTGAGAAATAATCTCAGGGAGGTAGAACTAAAATGTAATTATAACAGAGGAAGAAATCTAATCAATAATAACATTTCTTATCCAGTGAAAGATTGGGTGAATAGACTAGGAGAGAACAGCATGGAGCACGCAAGAATTCTAACTCACATGAGTTTTATTTTACATCGAAAATCAGCAAGTCAGCATTCTCATTTGTACTTCTGAGCCTTGCATTTGGATAGCATGATTTGGACAGCATTTCTCAGGTACTGACAAAATTGAGTTTCCAGACCTGAGACGGGAAATATGAGGTGATGTAGCCTTTCCCTGTCATAGGCCTGCCCTTTCCTTGTCATAGAAAAACATGAGGGCACTAAGGATGTTTAGCTGGGAAGAGGGAAGCCAGAAGTGAGACAGATACCCGTCTTCAGATGTTTAAAATTCTTGTCGGAGCAGACACTAGATCCTTTGGATTGTTGGGGGTGGGGAGGAAGCACAATTGATAGAAAAAAAAAAACAAAGAATAAGATTTCATCTGGCTGAAAGGAGAAACACACTAACCATTTGAACAGTAAACAGCTATCTTTTTGTCAGTTAGGATTCCGTGGTCATAAGCAACAGAAAAAGTCTAGATAGCTGGAGTAAAATAATAATGAGATATAAGGTGGCTCACAGATTTGAAGTAAAAGCTGCACTATCTGGCCTTGGAAGGGTGATAGAGGAGCAGGAACAAAAAAGCTGTTTCTTGAGGGCACCATCATCATGATAAATCACCCTGTGCTGATTTCCCCCCTAGAATTACTGGGAAAGAAATTCTAATTGTTATAGCTTGGGCCAGATGTCCCCACTTCTTTTCTCCCTCCTCCTCGGGCAAAGGCAAGGTAGGGAATGTTGACCGAAGGCCCCATCAAGGCTGCATCCAATGGAAAAGGGAAATTTATGAAAGGAAGATTGAGAAGCAGGAAAAATATCAGAAACCTGCTATGTCCTTCCTTGTCTTTGCAAGTGCAGAAGGAAAGGCCACCTATTTGTTAGGAATCCTAGAGAAGAAACCCTCATGCGAGAAGGAAGTTGGAAATGATGATTTAGAAGGTCCCTTCTAGTTCTATGCTTCTAACAAGAAATTGAGAAGTGGAATTGATTACGGAGACCCAGAGTCATTAGGAAAGACCTGATCATAAAGGAGGGAGGGGATGCAGCTAACGGTGAAGTGAGCCATAGAGTAGGTATGGTGGTTCAGTGGACTGATCACTGGCATTGGTCATAGAATGTCATGGGCATTGAGGCATCATGGATGGATTTTGGACTAGGCAGTTTGATCTGGTAGTTGTTGGTAGAATGAACTAGAGAAAGGCAGGACCAAGGGTAGGGGTGGTCAGCTGTTGTTTTGAAGGCCTGAGCCAGGGTGACAGCAGCAGAAGGGAAAAGAAGGAGCAGATGAGGAGGCATTTCTATGGCAGTTTCTGCAGAACTCACAGGGCAAGAGGAGCGTGAGAGAAAGGGGTCAGGAGTGACTCCAGGTTTAAAACCTAGAGATTTAGGAAAATGAAAGATGATAACTTCAAATTAAGACATATTGATTTTGAGGTCCTGGATATCAATTACTATGAGCTTGAAGCTTAGGGAGAACTGTCAAGCCTAAAAATCATAGATTTGGTATCCCCTCATGTAGAGACTGCACTTGAGGTTATATGAGTAGATGATTTTCTGTGAGGACAATGTATAATGCAAAGGGGCAATTATGTATTTTTAGAAGGAAGTAATCACTAAGAACTAGAGTCACTAGAAATTATTAAAGGAATAATGAAACCAGAACTGGCTTTTAAAGGAGCAGAAAGGGAGAAGGAATTCCACTAATAGATATATTTATAACTAGGATTGATTAGGAAATTTAAATATTGGGTTGATCTGAGTGATTGTTGCATTTAAAAATTGGATTGACCTCCATGATTCCTCTAAAAAATGATTATTATTATTCTGCCACCCATCTGCTCTATGCCATGGTTACAGATAGAGGCAAGGAAGAAGTGAGATATGAAATAAGTTAGTAGATGAAGAACACAGGAGAACTACTGACTTGTAGACTTGTGGGTCTGCTGGGATGCTGACTGGAGGGCTGAAAGGATGGACAGTGTTCCTGATGAGACAGTGGGACACATGACAGGCAGAGCTCACAGTCCTAAGATTATGAATTTAATATCCGCGAGACAATGCAATTGGTGAAGGAAACAACAACAACAAACCCCCATACCAGTGGCCTCTAGTGAAAATGTGGAATTGGGTTTCAGGGAATGCCGATATATACCATGTATTTATTATGTCCAATAGATATTATAAATAAGATAATATTTGTTAGAAATATATATATTAGATTGGATGAAAATCAGTGGCATATTCACCCAATTTATTTCCAGAGGAGTGTGATGAATGGGGCTGCTGGCAATAGCACATAAATCTTGCCCAGAAAGTGGAAATGTATCAGGAATACTTTGTGTTTTGAGCCAGGCTAAATTGATTAATGTTCTGGAAAAAAATGTGGACACATTATTGCTGTCAAAGGCATTACCTGAGAAAGGACGCGTGCTTGGGCAGTGACTTCACTGGTCACCGGGGGAGTGTGGCATGTTAATGGCCACCAGCAAGAGAACATGCTGACAGCTTGAAGAGGAAACTGAACTGGTTGCTAGCACGGCCTTCAAACATTTCTTCTTTGTAACTTGGAAGAGAGCTTTTATTTCTGAAGTGTGTACACATTTGCTAATTCGGTATTTTGTGGCTTGAGTCCTGTCTCTTTCCTCTGCCCCGTGGGTGTTTATGCCACTTGTTGGCCAACGCTGTTGAGCTGGGAGGCTGTGCGAGAGGACTCTTGGTGGCCTTGGCCTTTGAAATGGGACCAGGCTCATGAAGGGTCCAAGCATGATGAGGAAGGTCAAGATCAAAGCACACCAGGCACTCCACACCCACCCCCTTGGGGAAGTACTTTCAGAATATATCATCTTGACATCCAGGAGAAACGAAGGAATGGGAGGGGTGACGGAAAGTGTAAACTTGCCTGATCGCACTGGGGGCTAATAATTAGCAAGCGAACTAAATGCTGGGGGGTGGGGGGGGTGGGGGGATGTAGAAAAAGGAGCAAAGGAAAGGAAAACAACCAAACCCAAGATGACATAGAGGCAAAGAGAATCAGTGTTATCAAGCCCTGGGCAACTGTCACTTCTGACAGCAGAGTGATGGTTGTCCTTGTCTCAGATTACCTGCATGGCAGGAGGTGTCATCTGCCTTCTTCCATTATTCAGCCTCCTACGCACACCTGCTTTGTTTACTAACGCTGGTGTGCAGCTTGGCAGGTCTGCTCCCTCTCCTCTTCATGCCATTCCAAGGATATAGAAATAACCCTTAGAAAAACCCTTTGTGAGAATTCCACTCTGGTCTGCAAATCCCGGAGTTCTGGTCTCCCTGAGTGGGCAAAGGCGGCCTGGCTGCCCCCAAGTCCATGGCTTCACTGGTGTTGTTTCTTAGATGCCAACTAAACCACAGCGCAGAGTCAAGAGAGACCCATATTAGTGATCCTTCCTCTTTTCCCCACAAAGATCCTTCCTCCTAGGACTGATTCAATTTGTTGGCCCTAGAATCGATCATTTCTAGTCTGAATGGAGGTCTAGTCTGAAAATTAGTGTACTTACTGAAGATGAGCTAATTATTTTAATTTGCTCCAAAGCTTCTGTCAGGCTGTCTTCAATCTCAGAGTCATCCAAGGAGAAGAGGTCCCCGGCTCGGGAAAGATCTTTTTGTCCCAAGACCAGTCTGAACAGGTGATGCATGGTGAGGAGTTTGGTGGTCAATGGACTTTGTGTAGGCCCAGGGCCATGCGTCCGATTATCAGAGGTTAGTAAGGCAAAAACATGTAGCAGGAGGTATGCTTTGTATTCCTTGAAAGATCATTTTTCTCCGGACGTTGAGGTCTTCTTTGACACTCTCTGCAAGAGAAACAAATGACCCAATGTAGCCATTAGTTGAAAAACATGACCTCAGAGTGTGAACTTGGTGCCCAGAGAAGGGGAAAAAAAAACCCCAAACCTTTGGAAATGTGCATAGAGAAGTGATTTTCAACCTTTTGCATCTTGTGGCACACATAGACTAACTACTAAAATTCTGCAGCACACCGAAAAAATGCATTTTTTTCTGATCTTACAAAAAATAGGTATAATTTTGAATCATTCACAATGGACGGCTATTGTTATGTTGGCTGTTGCCATTTGTTTTTCTTTGACAATCTGAGGGGAAAGAGGTCAGTGCCCCTGACTAATGAGCCAGGTATCGAGTGCTTTAAAGTTATTGTGGTACACGGGTTGAAAACCACTGGCATAGAGTAACAGATTCCGGCTTGATATCTTCATATGATATTTCCTTATTTTTTTGTCTCAAACATTCTAGAAAAATTATTAGCTTTATCCAGAATTTAATTTGAGCCGTAAAAAGCAACATAAATGCCACATTTATTTTTTTTCCTTTCTATGTACGGTACTTCTCCTTTTTTTCTCATGCCACAGGGAAACGAGTGGATAAGCAACAAAGATGCCTAACACTTGCTGGAATTCCCACAAACAGATTCCCATGGAAACCAAACAGAAAAGGGCAAGGCAAGGAAGGGAAGAACATAGACCCACTGCCTGGTTTCCTCTCTTTTCCTGGACATGGAAACCAATACTTACCCTCTTGTCTGGGCGTCTCTGCTATATTAATCGTAGAAGCTGCCCCAACCCTCAGTCCAGAAGATGACCTCAGTACTTGCCCTATTCTTATACCCTCCCTGAACAAGTAGCAGTGAAATAAAGGACTCTTCCTAGGAGTGTGCGTCCACATAAATCTGGACAGAATGTGAGCATGAACTTGAGCATTGAACTTGAAGATAGCATTTCACTGCAGGCTGAAGGAGCAGGGTTTTGGGATCAGGCAGTCCTCCCTCTATTCCCACAGTGGAAATAATAAAGTCCCACTATACTTCTCACTCAATTAACAGTCCAAAGAGAGTAGGGAAATGGCACCAATTAAATACCTGACTATTCTCATCAGCTCCCTTCTGGGCCTAATAAAATCACAGACCAATTGCACTGAGGAGATCTTGACTGTTATTTAATGGCCAGGGAGGTTTAATGACTTCACCAAGGCCCCATGGTAACTGTACCAGTGCTGTTTTCCTGATTTCACGCTGGTGGGCTTTCCCCACGATTTACAGTGGAGTCATGTCGTACATGCAAGTAACTTACAAATGCAGCCAGACGCACAGAGAGTAAGAACTGGCAATGATTCATTTAATACAGGTGTCCTCAAACTACGGCCCGCGGGCCACATGCAAATACAAATATTGTATTTGTTCCCTTTTTGTTTTTTTACTTCAAAATAAGATATGTGCAGTGTGCATAGGAATTTGTTCTTAGTTTGTTTTTTTTTAAGCTATAGTCCGGCCCTCCAACGGTCTGAGGGACAGTGAACTGGCCCCCTGTTTAAAAGGTTTGAGGACCCCTGATTTAATATAAGCAATAGGCAACTCTGAAAGTCATTTTACTCTGCATGTGCTTCACAGAATGAGTGTGAAAAGGACTAGGGGAGCCTGTTGCTTCCTGGGCCATCTCAGACAACCCTTCTGAGCTATCACTGTGGGAGCACCTGTCTATGCTGAATGCAACTTTAAAGTTTAAAGACACATACTTTCTATGCAATATGGTCTCTAAACACAAGCCAAATAGCCTTTTGAACACGCAACACAAGCCAATAGCCAAATAGCATTCTCAGTGCTATTCCACAAGATGCAATTCATAGGCCATTGAAGAGATTTCAAGGGTAATATTGCCAACATGCAACTTTTACACTACCTACCAGCTTTAGAAAAATGACACCCAATATTTATACTGCACGTGCTTGTCTATGCGCCAGGTACTGTTCCAGATGCTAAGTAAACATTAACTCATTTAACCTCAATAATAACTATATGAGGATTATAACCTTGATAATAACTATATGGCAGGTGAGGAACCCAAGGCATTAAATAACTTGCCCAAGCCACACAGCTAGTAAACTGGGGAGCTAGATTTTGGGCCCAGAGTGCTGAATTCCAAGTTCATAACCATTGTGGCATATTGATTCCTTGTAAGTCTGCTATTAGGAATAAAGGCCCTCAGAGCCTTAGTGACATTTGAGGATGAAGAGATGGGTAGAGTCTTAAGAAAATGAACTCTTCCCTCCTGCATTGACCCTGCATCCCTGCCCATCTGTGCTCTGGGGTTTAGGCCAACCAGGGAGCAAGAGACTCACAAGGAAGAGAAGCGTAGAGGAAAAGAAGTGAAGGAGAGTGGTAGGGAAGGTTTAGGGAGGGGCGTAAAGAAAGAGGGGTGAGGGTCCTACAGAGAAGTTTGCACCCTGGCTAATGTGGAAAGGTGAATTACAAGATCTACAAGAAAAAATAGAAAAATTGGGATAGTTTTCCCCCTGAATTTTCTCCTTAACACAGCCTGTGCCCTCCCCCCACCCCCTTAGACACTTATAGTGACAGGGTCTCAGAGAAATAATATTCAGGAAAGTAAGACATTGGATGGAAATGACTTTACCTTGACCAGTCAGCTTCTTGGTCAATATCTGGCATTTCCTGAATCAGACTCAGCTGCCCCACACATCAGAGTCGGAGCTCTGAGAAGGAGCAGAAATACCAGTGGGGGGAGAGGAGCACCCACAGTGACAGCTGGCGCGGAGCCCCATTCACGCTCCCACCTTCAGCTGTTACTCTTGAATGTCCATCATATGCCAAACATTATTGTGCAGCACACAGCTGCACATGAAAACGTTCACACATCCAGGGTGGGGATGGGACGGGTGAGACTTATACCCAACATTCTACAACGCAGGGATGGCCCAGAGAAAAGATTCCTGTGTACTGTAAACATTTAGGGAAGTACAAGGGAGAGAGAGCTCTGTCCTAGGGAACGATGATAAGCAATGGCTTTGTGGAGGAAGTGGCGTTTGAGCCAAACCTTTTCGAATATGCTTCATTCAATGCATGTGTCCTGAGTACACACTAAATCAACTTCTTATCTGAGGTTCAAGTCACAGACTGGGCACTCAGTGGTTATGGAACTTTTGGCTCATGCTTTCCCCTTCCTTGAGCCTCAGTTTCTTGATCTGCAAAATGGGGCTAATACATGCCTAGTCTATCTCATCAGATTATTTTGAAGATCAAAGCTGCTAACACGTAAGAGTTGGTTGTAAAATAATGACACCAACAGTTGATGCTTAGCGAGTGTTATACATGTGTCAGGTACTACTCCAAGTACTTCCCCAAAACCGAGTCACTTCATTCACATGACAATTCCATGTGATGAGAAACTGAACCAGCCCAGGGTCACATGGAGAGTAAGCTGCAGAGTCGGGGGGTGGGGGGGAAAGGCACTAGGCCGGCCACGACAAAGCCCGCTCGGGGCTGTGTACAGTGGTATACATGACCCTGTGTGATCATTATTCAGCTGCCTCCCTTCCCATCAGTCCTCATTTAAAGTGCATCCCACATGCTACACTACACCATCCTCTCCTGGATAAGGATCAGCAAACACGTTATTTATTTTTCAGCAGCTCCGGTCAATGTTTTGCTCAAGTGTCTGGTCTCTTTGCAACAGCAGAGGAAGTCAGACCAGATCAAGTTCCACCTCATCTTCTGGGAAACCCACTAGCCTTCTCAATGGCATTGCCCGGTGGCCTATCCGCATGCACACAGACGCACCCACCAGACACACGCAAGCACGCACATGTGCACACACACGCACATATAGGCACACACTCAGATACTTTCTATACACCAAGCTCTTTCTTGACACTTTCTTCTCTTAGTTCCCCCATCAACCATGCAGGTAGGTATTATTACCAAAGAGGAAGCAGGACTGGGGAGATTAAACATCCTGTCCGAGGGTCTACCCAGAGCCAAGGTTCACGTCCAAGTAGGTCAGCCTCCAAATCTCGCACTTTTGGAATTACAAAAAAATCTGGTTTGTGAAATTCCCTCTTACTCCCAACTTTCACGCTCATAATTTCTCTTTCGAGCATTTCAGGGAGCCTAATCTGAAGTCCACTTTCTCATTATTTAGTATATACTTTTCAGCAGGTATTGGTTGACCAGTCAGGTCTCTGTAAGGAGAAATAGACACCACAAAAGGAGAAATGATTCTGCACCCAGCACGACACACGTCCGGGAGTCCCAGCTCTCCCCACAAACTCAGTTTACCTGCATGCTACTCCCCAAGGCGCCCTTGCTCTTACTCAGCTGTTGGTTTGGGCAGGAGGGTTCAGGCAGCGGACTCCCAGGGCACAGCGAGCGGAATCCACTCAGCGCAGTGAACCTGAAGCTGTTCATTGCGGTGCCAGTGCCTGGTGAAAGAATCCCAGGAATGCAGCCCGATGCCACCGGCAGCAGCTCCAGAGCCGGTCAGGTGACAGGCTGCACCTCACCCAGTGGACAGAGAACTGCCTCTCAGCGAAATGCTGTTTCCTGGGGCGAAACATAAAGCCTGCTCCAGTAGACTTGTTTTTAACAGAGAAAACAAAACTCCCTGTGTTCGTGAAAATCTATACTTTCCCGGGGAAGAATGGGGGGTACTGGGGGGAGAAGCCACGCAGGAAACATGGTTTCAACAGGAACTCAAGCAGGTGACTGGAATGGCTATGGGGAGCCCTTTCACAAAGCCCTGGGAAGAAAGAGTTGTAACTTAATTAACACCTCCCTCCCTCTGGAGATTTCGCACTGGGAGTTGGAAACACTGAGTGTTTGTCCTGTAGGAGCCACAGCTCCTGAGGAAGCCATCCTCTTGTTCTGCCTCTAGAGCAGCGATTTTCACCCTTTTCCATCTCATGGCAACACAAACTAATTATTGGAATTCTGCAGCACACCAAAAAAATGTATTCTTTTTTTGCTGATCTGACTAAAAAAAAAAATAGGTATAATTTTGATTCATTCCCACCAGATGGCTATTGTTGTGCTGGCTGTTGTCAATTTTTTTTTTTTTTATACTTGACAATCTAAGGGAAAAGAGGTCAGTGCCCTTGGCATGGCATGTTTTAAAAATTCTTGCGGCACACGGGGAGACTAATACTGCTGCTCTAGATTAATACTGTTGGAAGTTTAAGAATGCAGGAAGTTGCAAATAAGCGGAACAAACTTACTCCACAAATATGCACACAGCAGGTTCTCGAATAATGTCCTTTCTTTCAACATCCGTTTTGTTACAATATTGATTACTAAGGAATTCAAGTCCCAGCCCGGGAGGCCACTGTCTGTGTGGAGTATGCAGGTTCTTCCCACGTCCATGTGGGTTTTCTCCCACAGGAAAATGTGTACATGAGGTGAATGGGCTTGTTTACATTGTCCCAGACTGAGTCTGTGTGTGTGTGTGTGTGTGTGTGTGTGTGTGTGTGTGTGTGTGAGAGAGAGAGAGAGCGCCCCCCAGTGGAAGGGCATCTGTCCAGGCTGCCTCCTGCCTTGCATGCTGATCTGCTGGGAGGGGCTGCTGCCATGGGGACCCTGAACTGGAACAAACGGTTTGGAAAATAATGATCTGACTTGTTTTTATTAATCTTTCTTAAATGTATGTGTAGCTCACATTTATTTCAATGTTTATTATTAGAAATGTTTTGGGTCTTTATTTCAAAGCTTGGTATGTTTTTGTGACCAGATCTATGCCATAGGAACTTAACCCTTGTGTATAACAATTAGCCCATGGTGAAACTGGATTTGTTATACCTCATTTTGATGCAAGTTGCCGCTTCCAAGAATCTATCGATGACCTTAAGTGAGGACTTACTGTACCCTCTTTCCCCAACTTTATTTTCTGGAAAATTCTTCATAAAAATCCATTTGGACCAGATATATCAATTTGTACTTTAAATATTGCAGGGAAAATGTTTATCCTGCTTGACATATTGATACTCCAGAGGAGAAAAAGGTACCACAGTCCTCTTTTATTGTTTCAACGATTAACTGAATTTTCTGAAAGTGTTTTAAACTGTATAATTCTCTATCCCCATTTTGCCTGTTCCTATAGTAAGTCTCCTACCCATCAAATCACCTATCTGCTGGTAAATTGTAGGGGAAGCTGTGCTGTAGATAAATTCATCTGTGTGATCAATAAGATGTGGGCATTGTGGCTATCTTCTCAAAGTGCTACCCAGCAAAGGTGTGTGGTCAGATGGCCGCACACCTGCCATTGAGCCAGGCCATAGGCTCCAGACCTCATACAGCTTCCTAGAAATTTGGTGATCAATTATATTTTTATGACATCAACACAGAGAAATGTCCCCTCAAAGAATTTCTTTTATAAAAATGGAGAATCTGGCCATCTGTGAGTAGGTGTATTCTTTTATTAGTAATTCTTTCTGGCTTAAAGATAGTGTTAACATCTCTTCCTTTCATGGATAATCTCTGTTTCTTTAGCATTCATTCTTTTTCACCCTCTTCATTTCTAATAGTTCTTATCACTAAATTTTATCCAATTTTCTTACATTTTTAAAAGAGTGTAGGGTCCAGACTTGGACACTATGGGACCCCAGTGAGAAGTGGGAACCTGGATACAATTGAGCTCGGCTATGCCATTGCCTGCAGTGTAAACCTGGGCAGATTAATTAACCTCCCCAAGCCTCAGATTTCTTATCTGCAAGGGTTGTTGGGGGGGGTTTAATGAGATTATGTGAAGCATTTAGCACAGACCTTGGCAGATAGCAACCACACAAGAAGTGACTGCAATTATATCCTTAAAAGTATTATCCTTACAGGCCATTCTTCTGTTAACTTGTCCCCTTGCCATCCCTCTTAAAAACTAGTGCACCACTGTGCAGATACCTAACGTTGAGTGGACCATGTTAAAGGTGCCCAGGCGTTCCCACTTGTGCCATATTTACACCCTACTTGTATTCTCCCTCGATCTTCAATCTGGGTACATCATGAACTATCTTGAATGTGTCCCTATTGTTTTAGTTTTTTTGCAAACTTACCTTGTTCCCTGGAGAGAAAGCCTTACTGTGGCACTATGCCAAACAGTCACAATGAGGAGGGAGTATAAAATTCCCTTCAGGACACCAGAAAGAATGTTCTTTAAGACTTTTCAAAGTGACCTACACTCAATGGATGTTAATAAAAAATTGCTGGCTTACACGAGTAGATTCTGCTAAATGGAAATATAGGAAAACTCAGGAAGCCCATTTATGCTGAAGAAATCCTCTAGCATCCATCCCCAGATTCATATGTTCCCTGGTGTCTTCACTTCTAGCATAACAATATTTATTCATACCATGCCTTGGACAACACTATTGTGCATTAAAAAATATCTCACTTTATTAAAATCCCCACCGATTAGCATAGACCCACTTGGGTTCTGGAAACTTTCGATAACGTTCTCTGATAGATTTTCCCTTGAAAGAAAGGATTACAGATTCTTTTCAAGGAGCATCTTTTTCACACCGTGTGAAAGCACCGAAGGCGTTCCCATGGGAATTGGCCGCATACTTTCAGCCCTTTCCACAAGATGTCCATTGTTCCCTGGGCGGCTCTTGGGTTCCGCTGCCACTACATGTTGCTACACTTCCCTTCCACTGCAGTGTAAAGCAAAGGCTGGGTATTCCACCTGATGCTAAAGAACTGGCCTTGGGCTTGTTGCTAGGACTCATATAGTTCTAAGCTTGTAGGAGGCTTGCCACCATAAGCACACAAAAAATAGGCAAGAGATCAAAAACCATATTTAAATTGGAATATGTATTGCAACTTGCTGAAACAGAAATAGATAGGAAACATTTTTCTTCATGGGGAATGAGGGAAACATCTTCAAGGCTAACCAACTTTCTAAACCAAGAATGTGTGATCTGTCATCATAATGTCATAGTGTCTCCACTTTCACCAGTGAAGTTGAACTTTGCAGGTCATATTTGTTCTGGAATTGATACGCATCTTGTTAAAACTTTTAATTCAAATTTTGTAGGTTTATTTTTCCAGAAAGCATACCCCAACTCTCAAATTACAGGGAAAATTCAATTTTAAATGTATCTTTATTTACACTTAAATTGCACATATCAAATAACTGCATACCCAATTCCAACAATGCCTTAAGTGGTTTTTTTTTTCTATTCTTTACATTGAAAACATTTGTAAATGTCATGAAATCCAATGATCGATTACTATCACTATTTGAACAAAAAAAATACATATTTAAAAGAACAAAAGAGTGGTTAGATTTGATGATGATTTCTAAGATATCCTAAATATCAGTGGGAAAAGTGACAGCAACAACAATCAGTAACGATGACTGTCCTGCTCAGTGGCTGTCATGATGCTACTGAATTTTCGTTGAAAGCCATAGGCAGGGTCAGTCTCTTTGCGGGTTGCAAAATGTTGCTGGAGGTTAACAAAAGCACGAAATGGAAACGCGCCTGCACTATTATGGAGTAAAACAAAACTGCACAAAGAGGCACAGTGTTCGGCTCTTGAGGCCTTGAGACACGTTATTAATAACCCACAGGGAGGTGGCTTTTTTACCCATAGAACTGGAAAGCGCGCATACAGGCCAGTGCGTTTTATCTGCATAAGCAGCCAGCCCCTGGGAGTTCCCCTGCCCAGCTCCGGCAGCCCACCCCTGTCTCAAGGAAGCTTCTGGCATTTACTTCAATTAGCTTTTGTTTTTGCTGAACAAAAGGACAGGAGAGAGGACAGCCATACCTCTTAGCACAGGACACTCTGGCCATCATAGGGAAGAGAAGGCAAATGCCTGATCTGTAGAGTAGTTCGTCTGGACCCTGGGACCACCATGCTCAGACGCAGCCCGGTAGCCCCTGTCCCGTCCGGTCCTGGTGACAGCAGCCTCGCTGCCCTGTGCTGCTGCTTGTCAAGGCTGCGGAACACTTGCTTCTCCCCTGGACTCACCGTGCGGAATCGAGCAAATGAGTAACTTCTACTCCCCCTCCCAAACTTCTGCCTAGAGCTAACAATTGGCACAGAGTTTTGCTTATTTCTACGGGAGATTTACAGAAGCTTTTCTTAGCAAATCAGTGTTGGAAAGAATTACAAGATTTGCCTAACAGCCAGTCATTTAACTTCTGTTAATGAATAACCCACTTTAAGGAATCAAGGAAGTTTTAGGTTAATATCAGATGTGGGCCTTTTTTATCAGGCAGGCATCAGTAAAAAGGCTTGGGGAGGGATGGAGAGAGGAAAGTAGGGAAGGGAGATAGTATTTAAGCAAATTTGATGGAAATAATATACCACAAGAGAATTAAAATGGCTACGTATGCTATTGATACTGCTAATGAAACACTGAACTAAAGGAAGCACTAGGGACTTTTCCAAGCTGGTACTGTTCCTCCTTGCACCCGTCCACATTGCTAATTCACTCCCTTTTACCATCCAAATATAGAACTCCTCCTTTCAGGTTTAACACAGGAGGGATCCCTTACCAGCAGTCCTGTATCGTCTTACATCCCTCTCTCTCTTCTAAGAAGATTGCTTTTCAACCCCCCAAAGCTTAAATTAATTGGCAGTACCCGTGGGTTGTTACATCTAGAGGCTCCCTCTCTCCTTTTAAGTGTACGACACGGGCTTTCTCCCCTTGTTGGTCCGAGGTTTTGCCTACACATAGAGTGATAGACTATTTGCGAGCCATTCTAACCAGCTTTCAGTCAAACTACGTGTGTGCGTGCGGTGGGGGAGAGTAAGGTGTACACCTGGAAATATCAATATCCCCGTGTCATTGGCAACACACTGCTAGCAAATAAATTGCTGGCTCAGTTAAAAGGCATATTCATAAGGTAACGAGGAATTTTTTGTGTGTTTAACACCCAATAGCCACTTATCCTACTTCTGATAAAAATTGCACCCAAATTTCTCTTAGGAAACAGTGTTTGGCAGATTTGACTCACATAGACAGATTGGGTCTTAGCTAGTCAGAGAAAGTGCATTCCCCTGACCATAGTGATTAGTCCAGGGGAGGGGTGTGACTCCTTCCAGCCCGATGGGAGTCATGACAGATACTCATGTTTGGCTTTAGTGGGACAGAGTCCCACTGGCCTTGATCAGAAGAAAATATGAGGACCAGTCACGCTTGCCATTTTGCCACCAAGAAAGCAAATCTGAGTGACTTCATTTGGGCCCCTTGAACCAGCTCCTCCTGATGTTGACATGACCTACCCTTTACTGTAAGCCAGTTCTCTACTAGCTTAAGGAATTCTAGATTGGGCTTTCTGCCAGTTGCCATTAAAAAAGTTCTACCCAACAGAATCAGCGAAACCTAGGTTTGTGGGCGGGCTCTTCTGGGTCCCCACAGGGCAGCTCCTTGCAAAGGAAATGAACTAGGAGACTCATTAGAAACTAGCTATGACAAACGAGTCCCTTTCATGGCAACCACAGGTTTCCACAGACAACCAGTAGAGACCAGAAAGGCTTGAGAAAGAATGTGGTCATTCAGTGTACCCGAAAGTGGAATTTTCCAAATTAATTCTTCTTAACTACATGTTCAGTTCCTCAAATACTTCCATTCTAATCACCTAAACTTGTTGGTGGTTCTGAGCCACATACCATTTGACCTCAATAAACCTGACCATGAAATCCATCCATGCATGCACAATTTTCATACATTCCTTTGGGTAATTAGTTTCACAGACTATCGCTCTATTTTTATCCCCCCACCCTCTGCTCCTGCCCCCACGCCATCTTTGGTAAATTTGAAATAAAGAACATTCTCTTTAACCACAAAGTCAGACTAAGGTGCTTCCCTTATGGCAATTATATATATTCTAAAGAAATTTTAAATGGGTAAGCTACATATAAACACAGAACTCCTGGACGGTTTCATTTTCTGAAAGTAACTTTTCTTACCTGAAACCTGTGACAGTCCTTCAGGTACACCATTTTTGTGTTCAGCCACCCAGCTTTGCAAGAGCCCATTACAGGGCACAGAAAAACTCAGACATGTCCAGGAACTCCCTGGAAAACTTGAAGCCCAGATGGTTTCATTGGTGTATTCTATAGAAATAAATAATACCAATTGTATGAAATTGTTTCAGAAAGTTTATTTCACAATAAGATGCTTTGAGAACTATTCGTATATGAATTATAAAGAAATATCTATAGACTAGAGGCCTGATTTACGAAATTTGTGCAAGGGGCTTGGCTCTCGCAGCCCCGGCTTCGTCTGGAAGGACGTCTGGCTGTCTGGCCTAATTAGCATATTACACTTTTATTATTATAGACTAGAGGCCCGGTGCACAAAAATTTGTGCACTCAGGGGGGAGGGGGGGGTCCCTCAGCCCGGCCTGTGCCCTTTCGCAGTCTGGGACCCCTCAGGAGATAACGACCTGCTGGCTTAGGCCTGCTCCCGGGTGGCAGAGGGCAGGACCAATCCCTAGGTGCAGCCCCTGGTCGGGCTCAGAGCAGGGCCGAATGGGGAGTTGGGGTGCCTTCCCCTGTCATGCACAGAGCAGGGCAGATTGGGAGGTTGTGATGCCACCCTCAGTCATGCTCAGGGTAGGGCCGATTTGGGGGTTGGGGTACCGCCTCCTGTCACACTCAAGGCAGGGTCGATGGGGAGGTTGCGGCGCCACCTCCTGTCACGCACAGAGCAGGGCCCATCAGGGGGGGTTGGGGCTCTGTACCCTGTCATGCACAGAGCAGGGCCAATCAGGGGGTTGGGGTTCTGCCCCCTGTCACACACAGAGCAGGGCCCATCAGGGGGGTTGGGGCTCCGTCCCTTGTCACTCACAGAGCAGGGTCAATCAGGGGGTTGGGGAGCTCCCCCCTGTCATGCACAGAGCAGGGCCGATCAGGGGGTTGAGGAGCTCCCCCCTGTCACTCACAGAGTAGGGCCGATAGGGGAGTTGGGGCACCACCTCCTGTCACACTCAGGGCAGGGTGGATCAGGGGGTTGGGGCGCCGCCCTCTATCACCCACAGAGCAGGGCCGATCAGGGGGTTGGGGGGCCACCACTCTCACACTCAGGGCAGGGCTGATGGGGAGGTTATGGCTCTACCCCGTCACACACAGAGCAGGGCCCGTGGGGGGCAGGAGGGTTGGGGCGCCACACACTGTCACACACAGAGCCGCAGGGCGATCAGGGGGTTGGGGAGCTCCCCCCTATCAGGCACAGAGCAGGGCTGATCAGGGGGTTGGGGCACCTTCCCCTGTCACGAACAGAGCAGGGCGGATAGGGAGGTTGTGGCCCCGCCCCCTGTCACACACAGAGCCACAGGGCGATCAGGGGGTTTGGGCGCTGCCCCCTGTCATGCTGATCCTGGTGCCGGGAGGCCTCTCGGCTCGGCTGATCCCAGTGCTGGGAGGCATATTACCGTTTTACTATATAAGATAGAGGCCTGGTGCATGGGTGGGGCTGGCTGGTTTGCCCTGAAGGGTGTCCTGGATCAGGGTGGGGGTCCCCACTGGGGTGCCTGGCCAGCCTGGGTGAGGGGCTGAGGGCTGTTTGCAGCTGGTCACACACCCTTCAGGGTGGGGTTCCTCACTGGGGTGCCTGGCCAGTCTGGGTGAGGGGCTGAGGGCTGTTTTCAGGCCGACTGAAGCTCCCAACTGCTCCTTTTTTTCTTTTTCTTTTTTTTTCTGGGCCAGCTTTAGCTCTGGCTCCAGCTCTGAGGCCTCTGCTGCTGAAAGAAGGTATCTGGTTTGTTTAGGTTCTATAATCAAAACTCTGTATCATCTCCAGCTCTGAGATCCCGGGCTCGCTGAAAGCAGGTTTCTGGGGTTTTGTTTAGCTTCTATATTTGTTACAATGTTTCTTAAACTGCAAGCTCAGAGGCCGGCAAGGCAGGCGGGGAACGTTGGAGTCCTCTGTCACTGAAGCAAGCAAGCCTCATGTTAGTTTCAAGCTGCCTGGCTGCCGGCCGCCATCTTGGCTGGCAGTTAATTTGCATATCTCGCTGATTAGCCAATGGGAAGGGTAGCGGTCGTACACCAATTACCATGTTTCTCTTTTATTAGATAGGATGTGTATAGTGGCAGATAGCATTTCATCCTATGAATATAGCACATTTTGTCCATCCAGTCCTCTACTGATAAAGTTGTAAGTGGTGTGCAGGATTTTACTGCATTGTTGGGGCTGAAAGAACACGTTTGAGCTAGGCTGCTTGGCTTCACAACCAGTCCTACCATTTATTAGCCATTTGACTTTGGGCCACAATCCTAACCTTATTATTATTTTTTTTAGGGCGGGGGGTGGTCAGGGTTTATATTTCTTTCTAAAAGGCAAGGATATTCATTGTACCTACCTCCTAGAGTTGTTATGAGGGTTAGCTGGGATAATATTTGGAAAGTACTTAGAGCCAGACTGGAATGTAGTAAGTGCCACGTGAGTGTTTGTTAAATACACACTCGAAGGAACATCTTTGCAAGTGCTTCCTGGTGCAGAGCTGCAGGAATTTGCCTAGGATCCATACCAAAGTGAAATTACTGGGTTGGAGGGTATGCACATTTTTCATTTTACTAAACACTGCCAACTTACACCCTAAACTGTCAGTACCAACCAATAGTCCCACAAGAGGGGCACAGCTTTGTCACATGCCTGACAACACTCAACAAAGACTCTTTAATTTGACCTATTTAATGGAAATCTATCTTTTTTTTGTACTAATTTGCCTTTCCAGGTAAGTGATGAAATTCAACACATTTCATATTCTGAATATATCCATAATTCCTCTTCTTTTAAATGTCTGTTTAGACTCATATTCTTTCTGTGGACCTGTAGGGAGTGTCTTTTCCTTACTGATTTGAATAAGTGTTTTATGTATTGTAGATTCTAAGGCTTTGTCGGCTACATACATTGCAATTAAATTTAACTTATGCTTCACTTTTTTGGGGGGAGAGGGCACTTGTATTGAAAATTTTTGTTTTAATTTAAAAAATGTAATACATTCACATAGTTCAAAATTTAAAGACATATACTAGTATTAAAAGGTGTACAGTGAAAAGATACCCACAAACCCCTGATCCCGATCTACTTAGTTTCTGCCTGAACTTCTGTTACAAGAACCAACAAATATCCTTTCAAAATTTCTTAATTTGAATATAAATAGCTACTTTCTTTCCCCAATTTTACATAAATGGCAATTTGCTATATATACTCATTTCTGTATATTGCTTTAACCACTTTATATCTTGGTGCTTTTTCCATATTGGCATATAGAGAGCTTGCATCTTTTTTTTAAAGCTGCATATTATTTACTGTATGGATATGACATAATTTATTTAATAATTGGTATTTGGGTAATTTCAACCTTTATTCCTAAATATAAAACAGTAATTTAATTAATTAATTAATTTATTTATTTATTCATTTTAATCCTCATCCAAAGATATTTTTCCATTGATTTTTTTTTAGAGAGAGTGGAAGAGAGAGGGAAAGACAAAGAGAAATATCAATGTGAAAGAAACACATTGATTGGCAGGAGCCCTGACCAGGGCCCTGCTGCATGAACCCTCACCAGGGCCTGGGCCACAGCCGGCAACTGAGGTATGTAGCGCCATAATCAAACCTGGGACCCTTGGGTCCACAGGATGACACTCTATCCACTGAGCCAAACTGGCTAGGGCTAAAGAGTAAATTAAAACAGAAGATTTTTGCTTTTAAAACATTACCATTTTTTTTATAGTTTGCACTTTTTACTTCTTATTTCAGAAAGCCTTCTCTATCCTGAGTTCATAAAGATAGATAATTCTTCTATATTTTTTCTGAAATAGGTATTTTTTCATACTTCGATTTTAATACAAAATTTATGTTATTTATAATGTGAAATAAAAATCTGGTTTTATATATGTCTATATACCAAATACAGTATATATATATACATATATATGTGTATGTATATATATATATATAATTTTTCTAACACAATTTTTAGTTTGTTTTTAACTCATTGATTTATAATACCAGTGATTTATGATTTATGATACCAATATGATCTGTTATATTCCAAGTTTACATATATGTTTGGGTCTAGTTCAAGAGTCTCTGTTATGTCCCATTGGTCTATTTGTTTTCCTCTGTGCCAATATTACACTGTTTTGATGATCTTACCTTTTTAATGCTCTATGTCTTCATATTGTATGAAAAGATTCACCCTTCTTTGTTCTTTCTTTTTAAAATTACCTTAGTAATTCTTTGACCTTTACAATACTTTGACCACATACATTTTAGACTCAGTTAATCATTTCACAGACATCAACTTGGGATCTTGAGTAGAATTGTAATTAGATTTGTATGGATTGTAATGAATTGCACTGTATATAGATTATTTGGGAAGTATTAATGTTTTTTCAAATGTTGATTTAAGAAATTCATGAAAAATTTAAAATTTCTACTTATTCTAGTCCTCTTTTATGTTTTTCAATAAACAATTACATATTTTTTTCATGAAGCTCATGCACATACTTGTAGAGTTTCTTTTACTAAGTACTTTATAGTTTATGTGTTGTTGTATCTTTTTTGTGATTCTGTTTCTTCTATTACATTTTCTATTTTGTTATTCCTGTGTGAGGGAACCTTAATAATTTTTGTATACTGATTCACAGCCTTGTTGAATCCTATTATTAATTTTAAAGGTTTATCTGTAGAGTCTCTTGATGTAGACAGTCTTATCATCTCTAGATAATAACAGTTTTATCCATTCTAATTCATAGATTTCTTCATTTGTATCTCCTACCTTGCCATTAGTTATTTCAAAGAACCAGATTCAGTTCTTTTTTAATCAGTCCTTTTAAAAAAATTTCTATTGCATTAACTTCTGCTTCTATATCCACTGTTTCTTTTCCACAAATGTTAATGGGTTAAAATTTTCCCATAGCCTCTTGGATGACTATTTAGCTTACTCATCTTCTTTTTAGTTTTCTTTAAAATTCTCTTTAACCCCATCTGGCATGGCTCAGTGGTTGAGTGTCGACCTATGGACCAGGAGGTCAGAGTTAGATTCCCAGTCAGGGCACCTGCCTGGGTTGCAGGCTCAATCCCCAGTAGAGGGTGCAAGAGGAAGCTAATCAATGGCTCTCTCTCATCATTGATGTTTCTATCTCTCTCTTTCTCTCCCCTTCTCTCTCTGAAATCAATAAAGATATATTTTAAAAAATTAAATAAAATGTTCTTTAAATTATATTTTTAGATTTTATACTCTTATTTTATTCCTTCCTTCCTTCTACTTTCTGTGGGTTTTTTTTTTTGTTGTTGTTGTTTTTTGCTGTTCTTTTTTCTACTCAGGTTTAAAGTTGAGGTTGTTGATTTTGAGCCTTTTTTCTTCATATTTACTTCTTAAGTAGCAAATTTCCTTTTAAGCATGGTTTTAGCTATCATTCATAAGTTTTAACACATTGCATTTTCAATATCATTGAGTTAAAATATTTATTTTTATCATGGCTTCTTTGACCCCTGTATTATTTAGAAGTCTATTGTTTAATTTCTAAACACCTAGAGTTTTTCTAGTTGCCTTTTTATCCCCCACTGTGAGCAGAGAATCCACTCTACTCTAAACTTTAATATATTAATTTTGAAACTTGTTTTATGTCTTAGCATTTGGTCATTTAAAAAAGGCCTGTGGGCTCCTCCCGGGAGCACACCCAGCCCTTTCTTCCCTCTCAGGCATGCACCTCCTAAACTATAAAGGTCCTCACGAGACTTACAACCAGGGGAGCAATGGTCTGTGGTAGCTCGTCCTGGGCTCAACCCTGAACCTGTGTCCAAGGCCCTCTTTTCTCTGACTTTCCAGAGAGCCAAAGCAGCCAGCCTAGGCTCTGTCTTGTTGCTTCTTATATATTAAGCCCTTCCTTATTTCACTGTCCCTAGCTTTAATAAACATACTCTCAAAAATAAAAAAATTAAAAATTAAATAAAAAATGCCTGTGTGCTGTGCTCTCTTAGGCAACACATGTACTGAAACTGGAATGATACAGAGATTAGCATGGACCCTGCACAAGGATGACTCGCAAATTCATGAAGTGCTCCATATTTTTTTAAAATGCCCGTGGGTTGGATTCAGTGTTCTATTTATGTATATTAAACCAAGGTTGCAAATTAATTTTGTAAATGTTATAATATTACTTTTATATGGCTTTCTAAGTTAGATATTTTGAGGTATCTTCCTGATATATTTTGGAATTGTTCATTTCTCCTTTTGTCTACTTTAAAGTTCTATTTTGCAATTATACCTATTGTGAGGCTCTGTTTATTTGGATAGAAAGCTAGAATCGTCATAATATTTTTGGTAGATAGAAACTTTTATTATGATGAAGTATTTCTTACCTATATTAGTGCTTTTTCTTCTGAAGTCAGCTTTGTCTAATAATATACCTATGCAGTCTTTCTTTTGGTGAATATCTGCATGCTTTATCTCTTAATTTCAACCTCTTTTATCTTATGTTTTGTATATGACTCTTTTTTTCATCTTTTGCCCCCCTCCCCAATCTGATCACCTTTGTCTTTGAATTAGAACATTTAGACCATTTTCATTTAATCTAATTATTATTTATTTGGGGTTTAAATCTATGTTAGTATTTGTTTTATGATTCTGTTTGTTTTATGATTCTTTCCTCTCCTTGCTTTCATTTTGATTGAGCATTTAAAATTTCTCTTTTCTCTTCAATAAGCTTGGAAATTATATATCATTTAGTATTTTTTTGTTTTTTTTTCTCTCTTGTTTTTAGTATTTATATTCTATTAGCTCCTTGGATGCTTGATTATTTATATGTATGAGTGTCTGTGTGTGTGTGTGTGTGTGTGTGTGTGTGAGAGAGAGAGAGAGAGAGAGAGAGAGAGAGAGAGGGAGCAAAGGTACTGTATTTGCAAAATTGATTGTAGAAATAATTTGAGGCTCAGCATATCTTGGTCTTAGGAAGAGAATTCACATTTGTTTATGCATTGGCATTGGTATCACCTCAATTCATTTTGAGGTGTTGAGGTAAATTGAAACTGAGCTCCATTTTCTCTATTTCCAGTTTACCCTGTTCTGTTCCTAAGGTCTAGCTCTTCAGGATTTCTTCAGGGGTTTCTACAAATCCCCTTCCCTTCCTGATAGGCCCTAAGGCCTATTCCCTTTACTCTGTGAAGCTGTGAAAAGCAATGCTCAGCTTCTCAGCCTTTTACACTTTCAGGTTCCTTTTTAAATCAGCAAAAGCCCACCAGGGAAGGAATAGTCCCCAAAGCCAGGTTCACCTCCCTCGGCTCCATCCTTCTCCACACCTTGGCTCACCACACTTTACTCTTTTTGTCTTTCCAATGCCTTGAAATACAGTCCACCCCCTCTCTCCCGCCACCACCACTATTTCAAACACTTAAAACATTATCTTGTCCAGGCTGTACTGTCCTCAGCAAACAGATTGATTAGATTTAGCTACACCATCTTTACTGGTGGTGGAAGTCTAAAACAGTTAGGTTTTTATGTCTGAAATGCATTGTATTTTTCATAATAAAGTAAGTCTACACACACACTAAGAATGTACTAGAGTAGCATTTATGGTTCTGTTTGTAACATTTCTACAACCTTAGTTTTAAAGGTTCAAGAGTTCACTTTGTGAAGACAAGGGATAAAGCAATGACTGGCCTTGAAAAATGCCTGAACTCAAATCATGCTTCCCCAGTGCACACAACTGTGTTCTTCATAAGTAGTGGTATTGCAGTTGCCTGGAAACATCTCACCTATCTTCTTTATCCTTGAGCCATCAGAACAGGTTTCCACCTAAATTTTCAAGGACAAAACAATGGCTAACTTTCTTAAAGAAAAGGGATTTGGGAAAATAACTAGTAAGGCTGATATGAAACATATGTTAAGAAGGTAAGACCGTGAAATTAAATATTTTTTTACGTCGGTACTATTGTCTTTATCTTTACTACCCCATAAAGAATGGTTGTAGGCTGGGTACAACCCCCATCCTAATGTGCTTCATTATTAAAACAACACTTAATTAAGTGGTGGACAAAGCCAGAAACATGCTGTAGTTGAAGGAAATCTCTCAGGTTATTTTCAGATGTTTCTAGTTTAGCAAAAGCCAAAGCATATTTTGCTGAGCACATTTTATTCCTGTGTGTATTATAAGGGAAATCTAACCCATGTGTTTTATTTCATTAATATTTTGCCAAGTTTAATGGTCCTTTTGCAAGATATATTTAATGTTAAGTTATTTTTACGAGGCTTTTTTCCTTGGATTATGAATTCATATGTCACCTAAAGTAAGTACACTTTGATCCAAATATCTTGTAGTTATGAAGTCAGAAACCCACAAAACTTGGGTGATTTCCCAACAGTGCCAAATACAATATTTCACTCCACTACTAACATCATGATTTTTCCCCTCACATTTGTCAATCAGCACTTTATTGAGAAAACAGCAGACCTATTCTCCTCTTGAAGCCCTCCTTTTTTTGGAAATGTCCAAATGAGGCCATGGTCCAATTCAACATGGGCCACTAACGTCAAATCAGGGGCACCGACCGAAGTGTAGATTGTATACTGATTGAGTCACATCTGCGGTTACCTAAGAGTGTGATACAAGCCAGCTCATCAGAGGGCGTGGCGAATGCTAACTCATGAGAGTAGCAACCAGGGCAGGTGAAGATATGGGCCACAGAAATTTCCAATCTAGGCTGGTGGCAGTACAAATTAGGAAGCTGCTGTAGAGAACAATTATTATCTAGTGAAGTTTCAGAATTGCATGCCTTCTAACCCAATAACCTCACTCCTAGGTCCAATTCCAGAAAGCCTTGAACACGGGAACCAGAAGACATGTATAAGAAAGTCCTTCGAGATGTAGTAATAAAGAAATTGGAAACAACTGAAATATCAATCAATAGGAAAAATTGATAAGCCCGTTGTGATATGCAATAAATGTGCTTGTAAAGAGCAATGGAAATGAATAAATTACAGGTGTGTACATTAAATCATGGACAAATCTCAAAAAACGGGTGCTGAATGGCAGAAAACCAAGGCATAGTAGAAAAAATGTGGTATTCCTGTATTTAGATGAAGTTTAAAAGTCTGTAAAAACAAAGAATTTCGTGTTTAGGAGCATATACAAATATGAATACTATAAATGAAAACTATGAGATGTTATAAACACAATTCAGGATAGGCAATATTTTGCATGGGACAATGGAAAGTGGAAGGGAGAGGGTATGGGAAGTACTTCTAGAATCTCATTAGTGTTCTGTTTTTGAGAGCTGTGTGTTGTGTAGACAAGGTTTTTCCATTATTTTATACTTTGAAAATGTTATCGATATTATTTTGTATTTACTCAACCTTAACATTTTACTTTTAAAATGCAGGTTTAAGCATGTAACCAACATACTGAAATATTTATCCACTGGCCCAATTCTCATGAAACTAAGACAAAAAAATACATTCGGTCAGAGTTTAGTTATAGGCTTAATGCTTCCCTTCCTGTCTTGAGTTAAAAAAAAGAAAAGAAAAGAAAAATTCCCTTTGGGGTTTTTTTCTATGTCTTACATAGCTGGGTAATTTCTTATGTTTTCAGATTAGATGAAATACTATCAGGCAGCTCTGTCATTCCGCATAAGTAGTAGTGATTACTCTATCAGAAAAAAAATCTATAACATGGTATAGAAGTTAATGTTTGGCAAGCAAGTCTCAATGGTGTGCTAGAGCTGTCAGTGTAACCATTAGTAACACAAGACACAATGGGCTAAATTCTGTGAGAGAATGGAGTGCTCCCTCAGTCCCGATAAGACGGAACTCTTTCCAGACAACAGGAAATCTATTTAATATATATAATCAATTATTCACAAATCTAGGGCAACCAGCCTCCTTCCCTCTTCAATCCCTTCTTTACCTTTTTCCTTCCCTCTCTCCCTACCCCATCTCTCTTTCCCTTTCCTATCCTCCTGTCTTTCACCAACTGTATCAAATATCTATTATGTACCAGGAACCAAATACTCACATATGCACTGGTGTCCCAAATGAATTAATGGGACCCCTGACAGAGCATATATTGCAATCATACCTCCTTTTTCTCTCTGGTATAAAATCATCCTTACTTGGTCAATAAAGTGATACCTTCACATTTTTGCAATATATGTTAACTGTCTAATTGATTTTGTCTTTGTTTACATTGTGAGTTCTACAATATAAATAAATGAGTGTACATTATGTGCATTTTTATATATACAACTTAAAGGCTGGTAAAATCAACACTTGTAGTCACCACCTAGCTGCAGAAATAAGCATTAACTATAGTTAGAATTTTTCCTCCCTTTCTCCATCCAGAAATAATACACTATTTGAATTGTATACCATAATTATCTTGCTTTTTCTTATAGCTTTATAACTTATGTCTTTATCTAAGTATTTTATTTAAAACTAGAGGCCCAGTGCATGAAATTCTTGCATGGGAGGAGGGGAGGAGGATCCCTCAGCCTGGCCTGCACCCTCTCCAATCTGGGACCCCTCAAGGGATGTCTGACTGCCCTTTTAGGCCAGATCCCCCTCACAATCTGGGACCACTGGCTCCTAACCACTTACCTGCCTACCAGCCTGATTGCCCCCTAACCACTCCCCTGCTAGCCTGATTGACGGCTAACTGCTCCCCTGCTGGCCTGATCACCCCCAACTGCCCTCCCCTGCCAGCCTGATTGGTGGCTAATTGCTCCCCTGCCTGCCTGATCACTCCCAACTGCCCTCCCTTGCTGTGACCCGCCTCCTCCTCCATCTTGTGACGACGTTAGGGCATGATGCATGATGGTGAGGGCGTGACAACCACCTAGGCCAGTGGTCAGCAAACTGCGGCTCGGCAAACCACGGCTCGTGAGCCACATGTTTCTTTGGCCCCTTGAGTGTGGCTCTTCCACAAAATACTGACTTCTGCACATGGGCCACGAAGTTTCAATCGCACTGTACGTGCATGCCCACACATGGTATTTTGTGGAAGAGCCACACTCAAGGGGCCAAAGAGCCGCATGTGGCTTGCGAGCAAGGTTTGCCGACCATGGACCTAGGCTATTAGTA